ATGAGTTCATTTGCGTTGTGTTACGTCCTTGTCTGTGTGCTACAAGCTGAGCCCCCAGGCGTGGAAGGATCCGTCGTATAGAAACAGAGTGAAATGTCAGCGCTGTGACTTGAATCCAGGTCTCCTGGCTCCACGTCCTTTTTCCTTTATACAAAAGGCTAGGATATCAGCTGGCATTTGTGCCATCAATGTATTAAGATTATTTTTAAAGAATATCCTATGATTACATTGCTAAACTTGTAATAGTGGACTTTTCTAAGAAAGTTAATGCCAAATATTAATTGCTGTCAGTATTATTACTGCCACTAACATGGTGGGCTTCCTAGAGGGAATTCATTTGATTCTGTTTAATAAGTGCTTCCAATCTTGGGGAAAGAAAAAGTTACCCACGTCCTGGGGAAACAGAGAAAGCAGTTATGTCAACATGTGGGTGACGCACTTGTGATGGACACCCGCCTAGGCTAGAGAAATAATGTGGAGTGGTGGGTCTCAGACCCCACGGAGCAGCAGAGCCACCTGCGTGGCTGTGGCAGACATCACTAGGCTTCTGATCTGATAGGTGGATGCATGGATCCTGTGTGTGTGAATTCCTGCGGAGTGCCTGGGGAACGGTTGACCCACTGGTCCACAGACCACACTTTGGAAGCAGGTGCTGCTTCACTGGGACAGTAGGAGAAGATCCTGTGGAAATTACTGCCATGCAAAGCTCCATCAGTTCAAAGAGGTTTGCCTAGTGAGATGGACAGAGTGACATTCCAGGAAGATGGAATCATGTGCGTTACAGTGGAGACAGGCAGCACTGTAGGTAGGAGAACCATAAGAACTGTGATAGTTCCACAGTCCAAGAAGAAGTGGACAGTGGTGAAGGATGAGGCTTTGAGGGCCACGCTAAGCTGCGAAGTCTTTGTGGGGCCGCTGAATGATTTGAAGCAGAGGCACACCGTGGTCACCTTTGCATTTAGGACGATGTTAATCTGTCTCCAGCATGAAGGCTTGGGGGAAATCCCCACTTAGCAGCTCAACTTGAAGGAGCTTCTTTGAACATGTATAACATTATGCCTGGGGATTAGTAAAATGTATGCATTTCTTGGTATTACTTTCAAACACTTAACCAGGCCCTGTGTGCAAGGCACAAGTACAAGTAGGAGATAGCATCTTTTCCCTCAAGAGCCTGTGGAAGCCAACACTTACAGAAAGGAAGCAGCAGCGCACAAAGCAGGGCAGGGATTTACCAAGGGCCGAAAAGGGAAGGAGGACGCGAGCTGGCCTTGTGCGGCTGTGGCATTTGCACAGCTTGAAGAAGGTGTTGTGGGCCAGGGGCCCCGGACTGAAGGAACAGAAGGTGAACTGGACTTCAGGTGCACAGAGACCTGAAGAAGCAGGAGCAGCCCCTTTGGCAGACTTTTCTTCAGACACGGAGGAGAGGTAGAGGAGAAATCGGGAACATCAGGTTGTTTGTACAGAGCATAACCTCTGGAAGGATTCTAGAAAAGGTGTAAAAGTAAGGCGAGCTTGGTAGGAAACACAGTGCTTGTCACCTACGTGCAAGCCCCGTCTGCGCTCTCCTCGCCCAGGGATAACAGGAATCAAGGGAACCAGCTGCAAAAGCTTGGGCCAGGGGTCAAGAGGCAGGAGGGTGCGTTGGAGTTTCTGACGGTGACCGGTGACCGTAGTTACTGCCTTGGGAGCTGGCCATTGTCCTGAGTGAGGCGGGTTGGCGACGTGACAGCCCCTCATAAAAGGCCATCTGTCCTACGAGCTGGGGTGCCGGCTGGGGAAGCCTCGCGTCCAGCTTCCAGCTGGTGGACAGTGCAGTCTTCAAGGGGAGAGGTCTTGGGCCACTTCCTCCTTCCCGCATTTGCAAACAGGAAAGCATTTTTTCACGTCGGCTGTGTGAACTGTGTTTCCTGTGCGGTTCTTCGCATCTCAGCTTAACCGTCTTTGCAGCGCCCCTTTAAACATGCTGTTCCCCTAAACAGCCATGTTTGCTGTGCAGCAAACGCACAGCCTGACTCCCTCAGCGTCCTGATGGATTTGTTCACCGTGTAGATTGGAGTCACTTCTCCATCTAGCATTCTGTACACCCCTAAAGTTACTCCCACTTTTTTCAAAGATTTATTTACTTGAAAGACGGAGTTACACAGAGAGAGAAGCAGAGACAGACAGAGAAAGACAGAGAGAGGGAGGAAGGAAACACACACATACACAGAGAGGGAGGTCTTCCATCTGCTGGTTCATCTTCCAAATGGCTGCATCAGCCAAGACGGGGCCAGCCTGAAGCCTGCAGCCAAGAGCTTCATCCAGGTCTCTCACATAGGTGACAGGAGCCCAAGCACTTGGGCTATCTTCCATGGCTTTTCCCATGCCCATTAGCAGGGAACTGGATTGGAGGTGGAGCAGCTGGGAGTTGAACTGCTGCCCATATGGGATGCCGGTGCTGTAGGCTTTGACTTAATGCACTGCACCACAGCACCAGCCCAGTTACTGCTGTTTTTCAGTTGCTGGCCAACACATCATCCTCTTCTGAGATTGCTGTACTTTTTATTTTTGTTCCCAGGAGCAGCACATGGCCATTTTTCAACATTATTATTCCTGAAGAATTAAAGGGTAGGACTTGCTGCAGTGCTGGGTAGAGAGGCAGAGCTACTATGCGTGATTTCAGGTGGAGCAGTGAGTGATGCTTACCTAGGCTAGTCTCTCCCTGTGCCTCAGCTCCCACACTGGCCAGGCAGCCTGTGCTGCGCAGACTTGAACCTCATCAAAGTAAAACTTGCTGCACACAATAGGCCTTGGAAATCAAAAGGGAAGATTGAAGCCATGGCTAATAAATGTGAGATTCTGATGTGTGTGACTTTGGGGTGGGAGTAAAGATGCATGCCTGGGAATGCAGACAGCCACTTCTCTCACTGTAATGATGAATACCATTTATGGCTGAGATCAAACTTCACTGAACTTCTCTATTACATTAATACACAGTGCCAGGACTGGTGCTGTGGCCTAGTGGGTAGAGCTGCTGCCTACAGTGCTGGCATCCCACATGGGTGCCGGTTCCAGGCCCAGCTGCCTCTCTTCTGATCTAGCTCCCTGCTATGGTCTGAGAAAGCAGTAGAAGATGGCCCAAGTGCTTGGTCCCCTGAACCTATGTGGGAGACCTGGAAGAAGCTCCTGGCTCCTGGCTTTGGATCAGCACAGCTCTGGCCATTGTACCCATTTGGGGAATGAACCAGAGGATGGAAGACTCTTCTCTCTTTCTCTGCCTCTGTAACTCCACCTTTAAAATAAATGAATAAATCTTTAAAAGTAATAATAGTCATAAACATAATTATAAAAACACAATGCCTTAAATTTCCACATTTTGAAATTTTGCTTTGGTTGGGAAAAAAAAAGGAGAGAGGGTGAGACTTGCTGAAGGGTATTTCATAGGCGCTTGGCAACCAAAACGCAAGGCCCGCTTTTAATTGAATTATATTCAGTATAATTATTTAACCTGTACCAGCTGGTCCCAAGAAGCTACTGATTCCTTGGAGAGCTGATACTTGGCCAGACACATAAGCTACCTGATTAATACCAAGAAAGATGCCTTCTGTCCCTGTGTGACCTGTCACCCAAAGAACATACTGTAGAAAGAGAAGTGCCTTGAGGCTTACTTCTCGCTAAAGCACCTGCAGCCTCAGGAGATGGCCCACATAAACAGGGTGGGATTGCATCAGACAGGTAAGCCCCGTGTCTCTAATTAGTCATCTGAGATTTCATTTTTCACTTGGAGGTACTGGAGATTTAATTTGTGTGTGACATGCACTTGGCACACTGACAGTAGCTACAACAGCCCCTCCCTGGGCTTTGCTTCCTGTGAGCGTGTGGAAAGCACTTGGGCCGCGATGTAGTATTGCTTCATCCGTCAACAACAGGCTCCCCAAAGTAGCTTCTTACTGAAAGCTGAGTTCTGATTACGCATCCCTCACCTGCAGTATAGAACGAACCTAGTAAGTTGTTCATGACCAGGTTTCCCATTAGATTAGCTGATTTTTTTCCTTCTCAATTCCTCAAAATTTTGCAGTAGGGAACTGATGCATGATACACGCTCATTACATAAGAGCATCATTCCTAGAGTTATAGAGCAAGAGATATATCTAGGAAGTAGCATTTCAGGGATTAAAGTAGACGTGTGGTTGGAGACAGTTTCTGGCTCAGCCTTTGATGAAAGAGTTCATCGTATTTATTTTGTTTAAAATATACTTCTCTATAGAAAGATTGATTGGCATCCAACACAGTCCCCATGAATCATAGCTATTGATTTTGCATTTGCTTTAGCTCCCCCGAATTCATTCTCCCTTAGGTCATAATTTGTTATCCTGATGGGCGGCTCAGATTGGTACTTGGCTGAGCCTCGAAGGTGAAGTCTTTTGAGCTCGTCTCTATGTCAGACAGATGAGCTTGCAAACACAGCATCGCACTTTTCTCGCCTTTTATGATGTAACCCTGGTTTTCCCATGAGGATTACATAAAACTGGGGACAGGTGGCTAGCGGAGGGTCTTCTGCATAGTCCACTCTACATCTGTCTGCAGGCGGCCGTGGGTGTTGCCGGAAGCTGGGTGTCCCTGTGCTCCTCTGTCACTTTTCACACATGAGCTGACCCCTGGGATTCAGAGTGCAAACCTGAGGGCTGTCTGCTGGAAACTCCCAAGGTCAGGCGTTGTCTCGCCTTCCACGGTGGCAGAAGTGCTGGAGCACGGAGGATCTGCCGGCCTCAACCCACCGTAACGGTCAAGGAAGGGCTGCCCAGCGCTCTTCTCACTCTGCATCTGCTGGGGCACCTGTGGGTGGAGCTGGGGGGGCCGCCAGGTCTCCTCGCAGCCCATCCAGGGCAGATCCAGCAGAGTTGCTGAATATGACGCGCCCTCGTATCCTCTCTCGTGCTTTGTTTCTCCGGCCGATTTGAATGAGTGCTGTCATTGTGAACTGCCGTTTTACACCTTTTCTCCTCTGGCTTCCCATCCAGTATTCAGTCACGTCGCTCAAGACCATCCCAGAACTGTGCCGAAGATGCGATTCACAAAACGAAGACAGATCAGGTAAGTTCCATGGCTCAGCTCTCCCCTCCTCCGCCCCACTCTCCGCGCAGGGCTCCTGAACAGGGGAGCGGCCTGCCCCCGCCCGCTGCTCCTGCTGCCCAGCCTCTGTTCCCCTCTGGCCCTCTCGGCTCACACCTCACCTTCAACTGACAGGTCACTCGAGAGGGGACGAGTGGACAGTGAGGCCTTAACGAGGACTCGCTGTGTACAATAAACACGGGAGATCATCGCGGCATCTCCAGACTACACATATGCAGCAGTGGGGGCAGAAGCCATGGGTGAGAAAGCGTGATGATGCAGGCGTCAGTGGGAAAAAAAATTCTGGCTGCGTGGTGGCCCATACAGCAAGGACCAGCGCAGCGGGTGGGGCTTCACCAGGGCCTGAAACCCTATCAGGGATGGGCACGGTCAAATCCGCAATAAGGCCGACTGTAGCAGTGAAGATGAAAGCCAAGCTTTGGAGTTTAATAGTGTAAACTAAACAGAGAATTATGGCGCATAGATGGAAACCAGCTGGCCGGCCTCTCCTCCATGCACCCCCCTCCTCCCAACCCAAAAGAAAAAATACAGTCGGGTTTCTTTTAACTCCTCTCTAAATCAAAGTAAATCTCTGCCTTTCTCTCTGTGACAGGCAGAATTGAAAAAAAAAAAAAAAGGATATTGATGGAAATGATACCGATCCCCCCGGTCATCACTCTGACCTTTAGCCTTGCCTGTTGGAGCGGGGCCTTCTCTGATAGGAACCAGAATCCTGAGACCTGCAGGTGAAGAGGCTTAACTTGAACTCCCGTTAGGTGAAATGCGTCGGCCCCACCTGTGCAGTCCTCCCCGCCTGGCCAGTGCAGAGAACTCTGGAGCTCAGTTCCTTTGCCCTGGGATGTTTGTTTTCTGGAGACAGCTTGCTCAGAGGAGAAAGGGGTGCTTCGCTCTGTGTTTTTTTTGTTTTGTTTTTGTTTTTGTTTTGAAAGAGGGAAAGTACTGCTTTCATGCATGGGTTAGAAACATCCCAGGCCGGCACTGCGGCTCACTAGGCTAATCCTCCACCTAGCGGCGCCGGCACACCGGGTTCTAGTCCCAGTCGGGGTGCCGGATTCTGTCCCGGTCGCCCGGGCCCTGCACCCCATGGGAGACCAGGAAAAGCACCTGGCTCCTGCCTTCGGGTCCGCGCGGTGCGCCAGCTGCAGCGCACCAGCCACGGCGGCCATTGGAGGGTGAACCAACGGCAAAGGAAGACCTTGTTCTCTCTCTCTCTCACTGTCCACTCTGCCTGCAAAAAAAAAAAAAAAAAAAAAAAGATTTCATTTGCCTTCATTTTTTTTTTTTTTTCCCCTGCTTTTCATTTCAAAACTAGTCCTGTTTCTGGTAGGGCTGAAAGAGGGTTGTAGCTATCTATCTTGTAGGGCTGTATCTCCCTAAATGGCATTGGAACCGGGGAGTGTGTCAGGGACACAGCAGCAGCCTGGGGTCTAGGCACAGCCTCAGGATCCATGGACCTGCATGCAAGTTAGAGTCCAGCCACTTAGCAGCTACACGGCCTTGAGCTGTGACCAATGACCGTGAAAATTCAAGATGAACCTTGTTCCACTGTCACCAGGCTAGCATGAGGATCAAAGTTAGATGGTGCATTTGATGGTGCTTTTCAGAAATACGATTTTATTTTTCTTTGTTTGAAGGTCTGGGCAAGACAGAAAAAGTCAGTAGCACCTATTTCAGTGGAGCTTAATGTGCTTGTCACGCCTATAAGCCCTGGAAATACGTTGCCTGAGTCAGACAGGAATTAAATCACAGAGCAGAGGTTCAGACCCCAGGATACCTGTCTCTGGATTCTGTCCCCTCCTCTGTGACTTCTGCTTCTCAGATGGCCGTACCTAGTGGCAATAAATTAATGTTAGGATAGTATCTTTTTAAAACTTTGAAAGTCAGCACTTTCTCTCTTTAAATAGTCAATTTCTCTTCTCTATAAAATAGCAACTCTTACTTACCAAGTTCAGTGAATCAGTTCATTCCATCATACTCAGGTCTTCTGACTTCTGTGCACTTCTGCAGGAAGTGGGGTTAGATTCTGTTGTTTGTGACTGAGTTTCAAGTCCAGAAGCTTTCAGACTTGACCCAGAGCAGAGCCCGGTGACCGTCCGACCCCACGGGAAAGACCGACTCCGGGCGGCACCACGTGCGCGGGCCACAGGGAGTCAGAGAACTGCATTCTGTGGATTGAGAGTGATGCTGGAGAAAAGAGGGCTAGGAAGCACCCCCGTGGGTGGCAGGGTTGTAGAGTGGCTTCTTAGGAAAGAAACCTGGGCATGGTGCAGGTTTGGGAGAAGGGAGGCGTTCTCCTTCAGTTCCGTGGGCGTCCAGATGGAGAAATAGCTCCCTGATGCTGTCACGGGAGTTGGCTTCAGGCATGCTGAAAAATTCCCGTGCTTTTGCAGATGGGAGCAGGAGGCACTGGGACCTCTGAGCAGAGTCCACGACCCGTTTGGCATGGGCACCTTCCTGGGAGCCGCCTCCTGGGTCTCCCGTCACGCAGCAGGCACTCCCGTTGAGCTCTGTAGGGGACATTGCGCTCAGGTTGGCCAGTGTCAGCGTCCATGCTTGTGTCCCCAAGTCTTTGACCAGATGTTCTCATCCGTTCTCTTCATTTGTTAAGTCAGCAAATACTTAGTGTTTCTCTGACCCGGGCCCTGAGTACGAGGTAGAGACATGTCAGACAGGGCCCCCGTTCTCTGGGACCCTGTTGTATGTTAATGGGGGTGGCAGTCCAGAGGCAGGCAGACTCAGCAGTGCACAGTCGCAGGGAGCGATCAGGGGTGGCGGCGGCCAGTGTGATCCGGTAAGCCAAGGGAGGTGGGCAAGGAGAGAGACTCAGGGCTTGGGGAAGGTTAGAAGGACTCAGCCACGTGAAACCTGGCGAAGTTGACCAAAGGCAGAGGAAATAGCAGAGTCCCTGAGCCAGGAATGAGTGTAGCAAGCATGAGGGAGAAAAGCAAGTCAGTGCAGCCACATCAAGGCAAGCAAAACCAGAGCGTAGGAGGTGAGGCTGGGGAGACGGTCGCGTCAGCCTCCACACCCTCCAGGGAGTGGCTCCGTCCCCAGCTGTCTGGTCTTCCTGAAATCCTGGTGCAGGTTGATTATCCCTTATCCAAAATGCTTGGGACGCCAGAGTGTTCCAGGTTTCCGAGGTTTGGACTGTTTGTGCATAGACTTTGCCGGTTGAGCATCTCTAACTGGAAATCCCGAATGTTCCCAAATCTGAAACTTCTTACGCACCAAGCTGAGGCACTTGGGGTTTCAGGCTTTCAGATGACAGATACTCAACCAGCACCCGGCCGGAAGCCTCACCCTGCAGAGTCCTAACTCTCAGGTAGAGGAGGGGCCTGAAAAGTCATCTGGCCTGAGAGAAATAGCAGGTGCAGAGTGCAAGTGATAAGGCCTTGTGGAAAACATTCACGACCAATGAATGTGGGTAATGAGAGTATGGCTGTTCCCATACTTTTAAAAATTTTTTTGCTGTTACTATATAAATTTATTTGCAGAAGAAAACAGTTTGTTATTTACAAATAGAACATTCTCCGTGAGGCAGAAATCCATGTGGTCTAAAGGCGACCCATTCTGTGAGGATGTTTCTTACCCAACCGAGAGGCCATCAGCCTGAACCTCACCACCCCCGTGTTGCGGAGGACACAGTCTCATGACGCAGCCCATCCAGGGAGGCTCATTTTTTCCTTTGGCCCAAATCTGTGTCCCAGGAATGTCCACTCATGGATCCTGTTCTTCCTTTGGAACCCTAGAAGGGCAGTCTTGCCGGACGTGAGGCCGCCCTCTATTTTGGGGGCAGTATCCACCCCTGGGGCGGCCTTCTGAGTTAGCATCTCCATCCCAGCTACCCGTGTCGGCCCTGCTTATCGGGCTGGCTGTGGTGGTCGTGGTGCCGCTCACCAGCGCCCACCTCGAGTGGAGCGCCCACCACCAGGACCCAAGGCTGAGCCACGTCTGCTCTGGCTGGAAGCTGCCAGCACCATGAACAGCCCCAGGGGGCACCCCAAGCCCTTCCTGCCTTTCTGTGCCTGCTTTCCACCTCTCCTGGAGGGGCAGGAGAAGCCACTCCTGCTACCCAGAGAGCCCAGGATGCCCCTCGTGCAGCCCTGCTCCCTGGCCACTTCCACGGTGGGCTCCGGCAGGAGCAGAAGGCACGGTGCTGTCCTCAGAGGCCCAGGAACATTCTCCATGCGTCTTTTTCCACTTCCCCAGTGCCCATGCACAGGCCCTGTCCCCGGCCAAAGAGCTGATTCCCTAGTCACTGTTTTCCTCCAAAAGGAATAACAGCTTAAACTGCTGTCCATCAGCTACACCACACTGTGACTTAGAGTCAAATTTTTGTGAGAAAAGGGGTTCTGAACAGAAGCAAACGTGAGAGAATGGGATCTACGGGTTGTGAGGTGGGAGGGGGTGAGAGGTACCCGTGGGAGGCCCGCAGTGAATGGAGCTGTGCAGCACCAAGGCTGCAGAGCCGCTGCTCGGGGCCAGTGGGCCAGGCGTGTGTCCGGTCCTCTGCGAGCAGCTCACTCGTCCTCGGATTCACCCCCCGGGGAAGGACCCTGGATGAGGAAAGGGAGGCTCCCAGCAGTCCCCTCAGAGTCCTGGAGCCAGCAGCCTGCTCTGTAAACTTGAGTCCACTCCTGAGTTGATCCCGGGAGCCACACGCGGCAGTCGTGCGGGGCGAGGATTAGCAGCAAAGGAAGTGAGGCGTGAAAAACTTGCACTTACAAGTTAAAGGTTTGCAGGCATTCCCTGCTACCCGTGTAGGGAAAAAGGACAGCTCAACACATGACCGTTAACCTTGCTCTGTGTTTTTCTCCAAATGCAGATAAAAATACATGATGGTGACATATGGTATTCAAATCAAAACATATTCAATTTCATTGACTTACAGTTTTTTTAATTAATTAGACATTGAGATACACATTTATTTCAATTCATGGTTCTTTACATGTCTTGTGAAT